CCAGGAAAGCTTATGATGTTTTATTTTTTTAAGAAGTACTTTATAAAAAAACATTTTAAAATTGATTTTGTTTTTTAGAGAGAGAGGAAGGGGAAGGGAGGGAGGGAAAAGAGGAGAGAGAGAGAAGAGAAACATCGATGTGAGAGCAAGACATTGATCCGCTGCCTCCTGCATGCCCCCTACTGGGGATCAAACCCAGGCACAGGTCCTGACCGGAATCAAACCGGCAACCTTAAGGTGCATGGGACCATGCCCCCAACTGAGCCATATCGCCAGGGCTTGTTTTTATAGTTGTTGCTGTATTGTTATTGTTTTATGTAAGAACTATAGGGACTGTGAATACAAATGAGAGAGCCACAATGGATAAAGAGTCTTGTTTAATGCAGAACCATTGGAGGTATGACATAATCAGAATATCCATGGTAGTGGAAATATAACTGGTAGCATATAAAATTTATTGCAGCCTGGAAGAAACATGAGTAAGGGGGATTTAGAATTATATCTCAGCTACACATTACACTGCAGTTCAAATTCACAAAGGCAATGATGTTCAATATCATGGTTTAGATCCTTGAGAGGGACCTGACTTTACTTTTTGACATTTCATTAATGAGCTAAAAAATTGGCTAGTGTGGGGTTAACAGATGGAATAACTTGAAGTAAGGTATTCAGTATGCCCTATAATATAACCACCGTATTTTGTGACAGGAGAAAATGTAATGCTAGGATCATATTACATCATTTGAATAATTTTGAACTATCAAAATGTCCTTGTAATTTCACAACTGTTGTCAATTGTTTGAGGATGTTACCTACTAAACTGAAAAAATAAATTCAATACCTACCACATTTACACCAGCAACAGTATAAATGCAAGCATAAATTTGCAAAATTCATAATAATTTAGTGATAAAATTTTTAATAACATGCAGTATATAAATGTGCAGATTTTATGCAAATGTTGATAAAATCATTTTTCAGCTTGCAAAATGGGACTGCAGTATGACATTTTTCACTTAAGCAATTTTTTACATCTACGTTGTTGCTTTCTATAATGAATGTGAATGCCATCTTTTATGAATGCAACTTTTTCATTACAGAAATTTTGTTTGATCTAATCAATAAACTTTGGTTTAATATGATTGATATTTTAGCCTCTTTTCTGGAAACATCTGTTTGACATAATATGGAATGGAAGGGGTTGATGGAGGGCAAAAGGGGACATATGTAATACTTTCAATAGTAAAGTTTTAAAAAAAACAATATGGAAGCAGTTTGGAGAAGTTTCTAATCTCTTTGTACAAGTCACAAAAGATTGACCATTTATATATGTGTTCAACTGGCATCTTAGGGCGTTATCTAATTTGTGAAGTTTATGGTATTGGTAGGAATATTGAATAAGACTGTATCTTGTTACTGCATAGTAAAAGTCCAGCCAAATCAGCAAATACATATTGAAAGGCTACTGTGTGCTTGCTGCTGCCCACACATTGGAAGTGATGTGATACATGTTTTTTGTCTCCATCCCATTGAAATCATTTGATTCTTAAGTAGCCAAGATGCAGGAATTTTACAATAGCTTGAAACTTGATCCAAAATATGTGTGTGCACCTCTCTCTTTTCCCTCTCCCCAACTTTTCTACCTACTTTCCCACCTTCTCTGACACACTCAGCCTGCATCCAAGGGCTTGTGAAAGTCCCTTTTGAAAAATACTGCTCTACTTGACTGCTAAGAAACTAAAGTTTCTCCACTGCAGCCTGATGCGCTACATTTTCATACTTCAGTCTCTTTTTTGTGGCCTTTTTAAAGTGGGAAGTGTGCTGTATTTGGAGATGAGACCTGAGTTAAAGTTTCAGCTTTGCCACTTAGAGCCATTTCGTCTCAATCCTTTTCTCACCTGCAAAATGGTGTCTTGAGAGTGAGGGGTGGTCAAATGAGGTAAAGGATCAAAATTACTTTGTAAAATTTTATTTCTTCAGATGAAAGCATTATTTTTATATTAAGGGGTTATTTTTTTACTTTTAAAATGAATAGTTGTCATTTACCAAATTTTCATAAATGTGTCTTAGATTCTTTCTACCTTCTTAGAATTAGTCTATTCAGGCTTCCTTCCCTTCCCCCATCCAGCCTCTTGGGGAGCTGTCTCACTGCTGAGTCTACCCAGGATTGGCCATTAAAATAAGTATTGTGAGGGTCTTGAGTGGTTTGGCCCCTTCAACAAGAAGCATATGCAAAGGTTAGGAGCTGAGGTTATCACTATGGTTATTCAGTGAATGTGTCCATGGCTGAAGTGCTGGACGCATACTAATGAAGCTTGAAGGGCTGAGTTCTGGGAATAGCTGTCCGGGTAAAAGGGTGTTAATTATTTCATGACATTTAAAATTTTTTTGACACATTTTTTCCAGCAACTGATGGGCAAGGAAATGGGCTCAGTTCCTAGTACGCAGACCTATTATGCTGAATAAATATTCCTGTGTGGTAGGAGCTAGTTCTTGCTGCAGGCCGATATCTGAAAAGAACAAACAGTGCACCTCTTGGCCAGCGGCAGGTCTTTGGCTCTGGCTCTTTGGGTAGGAGGGGCAAAGGATGCTCATGGCTAAAATCTCTGCTGCAATAGGGTGGTGAAGGCCTGGGGTGGGGCCAGAACCAGGTGAAGGGGGGCAATGGGGAAAACAAGGGGGGGGCATCTGTAATACTCTCAAAAATAAAGATTTATAAGAAAGCTCAGGCTTGAGCAATGAGTATGAGGGAAGCAAAACGTATTTTGGGGAATATTGGAAACTTCTATTAGTAGCTTTCATGGTACAGAACCCCCTGCTTTAGTGAGACACAGATAGTCTTTCCCAGAGTCCCACTTTTTGAAATAAAAGATGAGGTTATTTTTTAAGTGCCTATCACTGCTTTATTCTCTTCATCAATTTGCAAGGGCATATTTCCTACTAGTAAAGTCACTAAAATCCCAACTCATTAGCTAACACAGCCAAGCACTGTTGTAATGACTTTACATGTATTCATTTGACAGATAGGGAAGCTTAGTCACAAACCAAGGTCACACAGTTTAGTAGAGTTAGATTTTGAACCCAGGTATTCTGACTGGAGTTTATGCACTTAACAAGGACACTATTTCCGTCATTATACTACCCCTGATGGCATGAATAAACACAAAGTGTTTATTCATGTAATATGAATATTATTAACATAAAACATTAACCATGAGAGCGTCAGAGAGGCCCAAGTTGAGGGGTAGTCTACACAATAACTGGTTTGTAATCTTCAAAATTATCAAGATTATGAAAGACAAAGACTGCTCTAACTGGTTTGGCTCCATGGATAGAGCATTGGCCTGCGGACTGAGGGGTCCTGGGTTCGATTCCAGGCAAGGGCATACATGTACCTTGGTTATGGGCACATCCCCAGTGGGGGATGTGCCGGAGGCAGCTGATCGATGT